ACGTCGCACGATAAGACGAGCTATAAGATTAGCGATTACATGAGCAACGTTGCAACAAGAAGAGCCGTCGACCGAGGCGGGCTAGAGGTGCCAGAAGCGTCGAAAGTTGAACGCTTCGTCGTTCACGTCAAAATGGTGCGGGCGCTGCAAGCCCACGTCCGACGGCTGGTACAGCGCATGCGACAGCAGCACCAATTGCGTGTTGGGCGCGCGCCACCTAGTTGCCCACGTTCAATATATCAAGTTGATACAAAAGCACCACCTCGAGGCCATGCGGAAGATGAACTCGAGCGTGCCGTGGCGCATGGGCACAACTGCGTGCACTTGTCCGCGGGCAAAGTGGTAGTTGCCCACAAAGATGGTCTCCGTGTCGCGCTGGCGCATGAGCTCTGCGGTCTACCGCACGACACCATTCTGTCCTACAGTCTGTAGACAGTATGTATGTCCATCTACCTCGCGCGGGTGGCGGTGCGTCATCGCGTACAGAAACGTGCCGTCGCTTCGAAAGTTGAAATACCGATAGTAAATGGCCTAGAAAGTCGCGTTCACTGCGACATCCTGCGCACACAGACACTGGTGTACGTACCTGCAGAATCGCATTCTTGGGCAGATCGGTCCACATGTTCCACTCGGGCTCCTTGTAGTACGAGATGCGCAGCGCGTAGAAGCCTGCATCGACACAGATCTTATAGCCACAGAAGACGCTCGAGCGGACCGTGATACTTGACGCGCGGCCGATTCCGAAACATGTGCGCCCAGGACGAAAACTTGCCGAGCTTGACGGCCCGCCCGCGGCTCTGCACCGTGAAGACGCGCCGACACATCATCTCGTAGACGTGCTCTACGCGACTCTCGAGCGATTTTCGCAGCAGCGTTGGCAGTACCGTCCGAGGCAGCCCGGTGAAAGTGGTGGCACGTGTTGCTAAAGTTGCCGATCGTGTCTTCGTCGAGGAACTCGAGCACGAGCATGAGCATGCGCTCGGGCATGTGGCAGCAAGGCACGTCGGCTGCGCTGCATGAGACGACAATCCTCTCGACACAGTTGTGTACGCACCGTTCAGATCTTCGAGGTTGGCGGGCTCGAGGGCGGCGGCCACCACGTCGTCCGGTGCATCAACGTCATCATCATCATCGTCGTCGTCGTCGATCAATGCCGGCGTGGACGATGGAACATCGGCGCGTGCGCGGGCGCTAGCGACCAATTTGAGCTGGCGCAACTCGTTCTCGGCGTGCACGATCTGGGCAAGAAAGTCCGGCCTACGTGCCGTTGAGATGTCGAGATGGCATGAGGCAGAGCGTACTGCAGCGACTCGTTGAGCGCCTGTTCGAGGGCCTCGGCGTCCTCGTCACGGCGGGTGCGTTGGCGGATGGGTGTGGCGATCATTGAGTTCTGCTGCTGGTTGCTGCGCGTCGTTGAGCTCGTGGTTGCCCACCGAAGTTTCCGTGGCAGTTCCTGCATGACACGGTATCCGGACGATAAGATATCCTGCGAAGTCCAACTCAAATGTCGGAAATAGTGTACGATTCAAGTTCCGCAGCACGATGTATGCGGGGCAGGAACAAGAGCGCGAAGCTTAACGTTAGAGCTTTTGCTATCGTAGATACTAGTACACGTTGGTGATTCCATTGCATGTCGTATACTAGCACGACCACGGAGCGTGCAGTGTTGGATTCACGTGAACTACATTCCGCCCTTTTAGTGTGAATATAATATAGTGTATCATTAGGTCGACTGCTGTGCCGCAGCGCCGATAATAAATCAAGTCGGCGTTTCGATGCGCGCCTTACTAGAGACCCCTCGTATTTCTCGCAAGACGACCCAGAGGTCGCATGATCAAGCGCATGAATGTTTGCGTTCAAGGCTGGTACCTTATGCACAGTCAAGAGTTACACCATTTCACCTATCTTTTCAGCTTGAAATCGTGTAGCAAGATCACGTATTTAGTGTATTTCGTCAACCCACCAATCAGAGGCGTGCTGCAGCGCAATCCAATAATGCTCCGCGTCGGTCTCCAGCGCGCCCGCATCGGCCTCGGTTGCCGCGCGTTGGCTTCGTCGCCCGTGACGCCGATGCTGCGGCAGTACCTCGAGCGCAAGAAGGAGTACCCTGGTCCGCCCCTCACTCTATCAGTGTATCAATTCATCGTCGTTTTGCCAGATTGCCTTTTGCTCTACCAAGTCGGCGACTTTTACGAGCTCTTTGCCGACGATGCGCGCCGCGCGTCGCACGTACGTGCATTGACGATGCTGTTGTATTGCATTCGATGCCGTAGCTCTTGAACCTGGCGCTGACGCGCAAGGCGAAATCCAAGCAAGCGCACGACATGGACATCATGTGCGGGTTTCCGATCGCGTCGCTCAACTCGTACGTCGAGAAGCTTGTTCGGCACCACGGCGAGAAGGTCGCCATCTGCAACCAGACCGAGGTACAGCGACGCTACGACGATCTCGAACGAGTTGGACAACGCAGCGTGACTAGTCGGCGACGGCCGCCAAGCAGCGCAAGGGGGTCGGCGTCCATGCGCTCGTCCAGCGCCACGTTGTGCGGGTACCGAACCATCTCTCGTATAGACGCAAAAGGGTGCGTAGGTGGTCACGCCCGGGTCGCTCACGGACGACTCGATGCTGCACGCCGGCCAAAACAACTACCTCGCGGCCATGACGCACCTCGGCGAGTCGCTTGAGCTCGCGTGGACCGACGTTTCGACGGGCGAGTTTCATCGCTTGGCGACGACATTGGACGAGCTCGAAAGCGAGCTTTGCCGCCTCAACCCGACCGAGATGCTCCTCCCGATCAACGCCGCGGCGAGTGCAACGGGTACGTGCGGTGCTAAATGACATCATGCTTCTATTCGTTTGTGCAGATGTTTTCTGGCAGCTCGTCGAGGCCAAGTTGCCCGCACACTGTCTCAAGACGTACCGACCGGCGTCGGCGTCGGCGTCGGCCATGATCACCGAGTACCTTCGGTACACGCACCTCCAGACGGACGCACCGGAAAATGCCTCGGCGCTGCAGCCGCGCATGCTCATCGACGCCAGTGCGTGGCGGTCGCTCGAGATCACCAAGGTGCTGAAAAGGCTGGATGCGCAGACTCGATACATACGAATGTCTGTCGTGGTAGTCGATGCACGGGACCAAGCAGCACAGCCTTTTGCAAGCCGTTGATAAGACCAAGACGGCGGGTGGCGCGCGGCTCCTGGCGGTACCGACCCGATGTGCTCTCGATTCTTTACACGAAGACTGCAGGCACACCTCTCGGCGCCGCTCGTGCGCGTTGATGACATTACCAAGCGTCAAGACGCCGTGTCGTGGCTGCTCCAGGATACCCACGGTCTCTCCAAGCTGCGTCATATTCTGCAGGTATTCCACCTACACGCGCATCTATCGCTGGCTCAAGGTTCATTAGGAGTGCGGTGATATTGAGCGGAGCCTCCGCCGTCTTGCGATGGGCAACGGGACGCCGAAAGACCTCAAGCGAGTACGGTCGCGCGTCAACAATCAATCCACTGTTGAAATACTGTTTTGTGTTAGATTAGTGACACGGTGCTCGAGAGTCAAGCGCTGGCGCACTACTTGCGGGACGGCCCGCGCCACTGGCCGTGCGAGCTCATTACGAGTCTCCGAGACGCCTTTCATGTGCCCGAAGGTAGGTGATTTGTCATGAAAGAATATGACAATGTTGACCACATACGTCTAGTCGTCGCCATGGCCATCAACGTGCAAGCGGCGCTCGTCGACGACATGACGCAACTCAACCAAAAGCACGATTTCATCCGCGCCGGTACGGGACATTTTTCACGATATGAAAATGATGTTTTCTTGTGGGGGTAGGGTATTCAAGTGAATTGGATAAATGGCGCCGTCTCTGCCACGACTCGGTGACCGACCAGATTCGAGACCTCCAACGCGAGTACCAGACGCTCACGGGCGTTGCAAAGCTTCGCGTGGCGCGCAAGAAGCAGCACGTTGGCTGGTGTGTCGAAGTGCCCCAAGACACATCGCCGCCGCTCGCCCGTACGACACGAAATATCATTTCGAGTACTTGGCTCAAGAACGCGTAGCGCCCCACTTTCAGCTGATCCAAACGACAACCAAGACGCTTCGGTACCGGTCACCTGCCCTCGATAAGCTCAACTCGGATGTGTTTCACGCGTTGGACCAGGTACAATGGCCTGCTCGGTAATGCATTGCTCGCAACTGTTTCTAGAGTGTCGAGGTCGAAGAAGCGCTCTTCAAGGAGCTGCAAGGCCGTGTCTTGGCGGTGTCTACCGCCATTGAGGCCTTGGGCGACGCGTTGAACCAGCTCGATGTCGCGGCCAGTCACGCCCAGAACGGTACGACGCATCGATACCGAGTCGTCGTTGCCGACATTGCACTATAGCGTTGGACCACCAACTGGTGCGACCGACGTTGTCAGCCACGTCTGCCGACATGCACATTGTCGAGGGGCGTCACTGGGTCGTGGCGTCGGCTCACGAAGCCAACTTGCGCGCGTTCGTCCCCAACAGCTTGCATTTTAGCTCCGACGACTCGTGCTGGATCGTCACGGGGCCCAATATGGGCGGGAAGAGCACGTTTCTGCGACAGACGGCTCACCTCGTGCTCCTTGCGCAGGTCGACTTCTTGTGTCCCGAACCTCGTCTTGATGGATCGATACAATGTGGATGCGATAGATGGGCAGCTTTGTACCTGCTGTGAGCGCGCACATTGGGATCGTCGACCGCCTCTTTAGTCGGGTAGGGACAACTACTTGTCTCTTGATATGCTTCGATCTGTGTTGGCAGGTTGGTAAAAGAAGGTATGTAGGTGGGCGCGTCGGACGATCTCGCGTCCGATCGGAGCACGTTTATGGTTGAAATGCAAGAGACTGCGACGATTCTCAAGCAGGTGCGGGTGACGAGAGCCATCCATTGTGCAACTACGCTCAAGTCGTATCTAGGCAACGAATCGGTCGCTCATCCTGATGGACGAGGTTGGCCGCGGCACGTCGGTGCAAGACGGCGTCGCCATCGCCCAAGCCGTACTACGCTCACGCCCTTTTTGAACCGAGTTCTTATTGCGGCGTAGGTGGTCGAGGAGCTCCTTCGGCGCCAGAGCCGGACGCTCTTCGCGACCCACTTTACCGAACTTAGCAGCATCTTTGCCAACGCGCGAGCCGTATCGTTCCACCACATGCAAGTCGCTCGCCACAAGTACGTCGCAAATCGAGTGTGTCGTGCTGGAGATGATCCCATGGGTGTAGAAAGGCAGGTCTGATCTTCTCCCACCGCGTCGTGCCTGGCGTCGCCAAAGAATCGTACGGTGTCGAAGTCGCCGCCCTCGCCGGTAGTACTGCGTGTTTGAATCATTCCCGCTGTCCCTCGATTGTGTAGGCTGCCCCGCCAACGTCGTCGAGCGGGCGAAGGCACTCGTGCAGCGCCAAAAAGATGCACTTGCCTCGGCGGCAGAGACCCCGTAGCTTTCGTCGGGCCACCTGCGACGTGTTTGTTCGTGCGACGGGGCCGTCGTACGCTGCCACGATTGCCATGGGCCTTGACGCCGGCACCACGAAGCGCACTGTTGGAATGCAACAAAGCGTTCTGGCAGACTTCCCTTGTTGTGCGATTGTTGCATAGAAAGTTAGCCTCGGGTGTCGACCTGATAACGTGGCACGTTGTAGCGCACGCCTGTCGCATTGCCACAACGCGGAGGCAGTTGCGGTCCTTCCTCGCAACGCGGCATGGCGTACGGTGGTGGATCAAAGACAGACCATGGGTGGCGCCAACAATGGAGCTAAAAACGTCGGTATCAAAGGGACTGGAACCCGCGACGATGATGGTCAACGCGATTGATGGTCGGTCGCGTGCCTCATCACGCGATCGGCCAAGGGAATAGGACAATTGTATTCTTTGGTGGATGACGCACTCGGCAAATGCATGAAACAACACTTGGCGATGGAAATGGTAAGGTCGTTCGAACAATGCTGCAATTTGATTGGTGCATCGATTTCTTCCTCGCTTTTGATTGGTCCAAACTCGGATTTCGGCGCCACGCGTTTGCCCATCATCACATCACAGCGACATACAAACGCCAAGAGAGAGCGAACCGTCAAGCGTCCAGCCATCACCATGGACAGGCCTTGGTGCCCGTCAACAACAAGCCATCGGTCGCCACCTGTAGCGCAGCTTCGGTAGTCCATCGTCCGGCTACGACGTGAGCTCACAACGACATTTGCAGCGTCCAGCGCACGTCCCAACATGTCCGCCGCCGACACGACGTACGTGGCGCTGGCCTCGCCGCGCGACAAGGGCGACGCCGCCTCCAACCCGAAAACACAACAACACCAACAACGCCAACGACAGCATCGCTCATTCCACTGTCCAAGCTCTTCCAGTACGCCGACGCAACCGACAAGGTGCTCATGGTCACCGGCGCGCTCTTTGCGGCCGCGACCGGCATCGCCCAGCCAGTGCAGATCCTTTTCTTTGGCGACATCATCAACGCCTTCAACCCGACGAACGGCGACGTCATTGACGCCGACCTCTTCCGCAGTAGCATCAACAGCGTCGTGCTCAAGTTTGTGTACCTTGGCCTTGGCGTTCTCTTTACCGCGTTTGGCCAAGTCGCTTGCTGGACGATCTCGGCGTCGCGCCAGTCCAAGCGCATTCGGCACGCCTACGCCAGTGCGATTCTGCGCCAAGAGGTCGGCTGGTTTGACGTGAGCGAGCCGATGACGCTCGCGACGCGCGTGGTGGACACGACGCTCCTCGTGCAAAACGGCATTGGGCGCAAGATCGGCGACGGCATCAACTACGCGGCCATGGGCGTTGGCTCGATCGTCCTGGCCTTTGTGTACGGCTGGGAGCTCTCGCTCGTGCTCTTTGCCTTGACGCCCTTTATTGGCCTCTCGGCTTACTACATGACCAAAGCCATGTCGGACGCGGTGCAAACCGGCGTCGACGCGTACGCCGAGGCCGGCGGGGTTGCCGAAGAAGCTTTGAGCAACATCCGCACCGTGCACATGTTTCACGCGATGGAGCGCATCGCTGCCAAGTACCAAGTCGCGCTCGCCAAGACGGAAGCCGCCGGCGTCAAGAAGGGGCTGGCCATCGGCGTTGGCACCGGTGTCATGTTCTTCATGCAATTCCTCACCAACGGCCTCGGCATGTACTATGGCGCCGTCAAGATCAGCAACGACATCGCGGACGGGTGCATCGCGAGCGACTGCTACAACGGCGGCCGCGTCATCACCATCTTCTTCTGCATCGTCATGGGCGCCATGGCGCTCGGCCAGGCCGGGCCGGCGCTCCAAGCCATCTACACGGCGCGCGCGGCTGCCCACGATGTCTTCGCGCTCATTGCCCGCACCTCGCTAATCGACGTGACGGACGCGTCGGGCACGGTCCTGGATCCCAACAAGGTGCGCGGGGACATTGCGTTGGAAAACATTTCGTTTGCGTACCCGTCACGCGCGCACGTCCAAGTGTGCGCCGGCTACTCGCTCGTCATTCCCGCGGGCCAAAAGATTGCGCTCGTGGGGGCGAGCGGGTCGGGCAAGAGCACGATCGTCTCGCTCCTCGAGCGCTTTTACGACCCCGTGGGCGGCCGCATTACGCTCGACGGCGTCGACTTGAGAGACCTCAACGTCGCGTCGCTCCGCGCGCAAATCGGTCTCGTCGGCCAAGAGCCGAGCTTGTTTGCAGACACGATCGCCAACAACATCCGCCGCGGCAAACCGGACGCGACGCTCGAAGAGGTCATGGCCGCCGCCAAGCAAGCCAATGCCTTTGACTTTATCATGGGGTTCCCCGCGGGCTTTGACACGGACGTCGGCGACCGTGGT